TTTGTCTCTCCAGTCTGGTCAATATCTCGAACGTTGGAAAAAGACTACGGTTGTAGCGCGACATATGTCCTGGTCGAAAATTGTTATCCGGAACTACCGCCCCATTAGTCACACGGCCATTCTCTCAGGTGTGCTAGAGAGAATTGGTAAGGAACATTAGGTTACTTTCCTAATATCGCACAAAGTTCTCACGTTCACAACATGGCTTTCTGAAGTCCCGCTCGTGTGTTACTTGGCAGGTTGACTTCCCTAACCATCTAACTGAAGCAACTGACTCAGGTCTTCAGTGCGTTGTCCTCTTCCTCGACCTGCAAATCGCATTTGACAGAGTCCCATACAAAAAAGCTGCTATTTAGATTAAGTAAGTACGGTGTTACAAATCCGCTATACTCTTGGACCCAATCGTACTTAGTAGGACGGTCACAAGATGTGGATAACAATGATTACATCTCTTCACCTCGTCTGGTCACCAGCGGATTGGTACAGGGCAGTGTCTTAGGTCCGTTACTCTGCCTATATATAAATGACATTGTTTCTGTTATGCAATTTGGGAAGCGTTATTTGTTTGCTGATGGTCTGAAGGTGGCTTACACGTTCCCAGGTTCTCAGCGTATCGCTGAACTTAACAATATCCAAAGCGACTTGAAAGCCATTGAGAGATGCGCTGGTATGTGGCAGATGACGTTTACAACATCGAAGTGTAGTATTCTGGCGTATGGATGTCAGATGGCAGCAGAATTGTTCAGGCTTCATGACGAAGTCATTCCCATCAGCCAGTCTGTTCGTGACTTAGAGTTAAGCTATTCTAGTTCGTTAAAGTTTAGCGAACATACAAATCATATCGTGAAAAAGGCTAAGCAGTCCGTCGAGCTCATGTGCCACCTGCTAACCTTGAAAGAAACCAGACTAATTGCTTTCAAAATCAGGATCAGATCTTCTCTTGAATATTGCTGTGTTACTTTCAGTAAGTTGCGAAAGAGGAACTTGAGAGCCATTGAAAACGTTCAACACGCTTTTACGAAGCGCATATTTGGCTATTCAACCGCTCTTTCATACAGAGATAGGTGCAAGCAGTTGAATCTTGAAACTCCGTGGTTACGAAGAGTGCAATTAAATCTGTGCTTCCTCCACAAACTCGCGTGGCGGAAAGCATATGCTGGAACCTATCAATTACACTTTCGGGAAAACACCATTTATGAACTGCGAGATAATGAATGCATATTCTGTTTACCTAAATTCAAAACCAGCCTAAGGAGAAATTGCTACCTTCATAGGTATGGCTCCATAAGGAATAAGCTACCAAAAGAGATTAGATGTATTGAACATTTCTGCATGTTCAAGAAAATGTCAAACGTTTGTCTATCAACTGACAGAGTGAACTAGATCTTAAAAGTTCAACGTGGTGATGAAAAGCTGTATGAAGAAGGGCCGGATCATGTATGATACCGAAGAGCATCGACCTGAAATATATCTAACAAATGAACCAGAGAAAACATGATCATCTAAAATGGGCTACTACAAACCGCCTCTTATGCTATTCTTTAACGCCACCTTCTATGCGGTTTTATTGCTTTCAAACTTAATTCATACCAACTGCCTTCTGTTTAAAACCGAGAGCAAAATTATTTACTAGTGTCGCGTCAGGAACTATTTCCATACTTTTCCCCACAAAGCGATTAACTCCTAATATGGTTCTGCGATCCCCTTCGTTACATTTTTTCTGCAGTGCTAAGCATTTCCCCTTCTTCTCTGGAGTTAACTGTCCAAACGTATACTGGAATTCATTGATGGCAATAACGGATACCCTATGTGATTTTTGCCTATGGACAACTAGTAGTTATCGGTCTCCGGCTGTCACGCCACACAATTTGATCGTATGATCGGCTCGATCCATTTTTACGCTGATGTAAAAAACATACCTGCCTATTTTTACATTAACAATATAGTACCTCTTTCACATAATTCTTCTTTTTCTACATTCTTCCTTATTTCATTGTTGGCCACGACTGGGGTGATCTCCTGTGGTGACGGATTATAGCTTCTAGATTATAAAAGACTTTACCTATGCAAGGCGCATTGCCACAAAGTGACTGGCGTATAAAAAGTGCCATAATTGAATGATCCGCATGACGGACTGGGCTGGGACTTCATCGCTCATAATACATATATAAAAGCAGCCTTAAAAAGAACACAACATATGATAAACATGTGATGGCTCATATGCTACTATGCCACACCGGCACGCGGCCAGGTATAGCATGGAAGTGCGGGCGAAACCTTTCGAGGGAATACCTTGCATGGAAGCAGGTCCCCTGGGGACGGTTCCACGAGTGGCCGTATTACTTTACCTGGACATTTGTTTAAATCTGCATTTGTTATTGTTCCTGGCTTTTTAATTTCTTTAATACCTTAAACCTGCCAATTACTTTAATACCCGTTTTGGATCCATTGTAAAAAGCGTGAACAAATTGATTGTTATTTGCGACCCTGTTGTACACATTGATCAGACCACATAGTTGGACTGCACCTCGAATCGTCGAGGAATATACCATTTATTTTTATTTATTTATTTAACATTATATAAGCAAATATGATTTCATGCGTACAAGTCTCTTTCCTGCTTGTCTTGCGATTTCTCCCTGCGGTCGTGGGGTGAGGGCGTCAGTGGCGACACAGCAAACAGCTTACTTAACAAGGTTATCAAAAGCACTGAAAAATGTGTGGCACCAGTATTGCAGTGCTCTCCGAACTGAACGATTATTTTATAGACGTTTCGCTGCTAGACTAGACAACATCGTCAGTGCGGCTTTAAGGTCGTGTTTCGAAGAGCCTTTGAGTATATGTGCTTTCATGCAGGCATTTCCCTTCACGAATTTCAATAAAGCAAGAAGAAACAACATTATAACATAATTTACTGAATTCAGTAATTTCGCGTATTCTCCTCAGCTGTTTACATACAATGAGTGGAAAACAGTGTGATGTTAACAGAACGTCGAAACTTAGCTCACGTGACCTGTTCCGAGGAAAACGCAATCACTAGCCTCCCAGGGGCAGGTGGTCACGAAATCGTTTGTTAGATTTGGCTTCACACCGAATTGCTGCCTCTCCGCAAATGTAGTAGGGATTAGCCTGTTGTAACTCCTGAATTGCCCGTGGGTTTGACATTCAGGCAGTCAAGTGTGGGCGATTATTAATCTGTGACATCCTTTTCAGTTTGGCCTATGTACTTGTACCGAAAGTACAATTAAAGTGGCAAATGCATGAGGCGGTAACTTGAGAGTCCGGTCTGTCCAGGTTGGATTTACAGAGCAACCTTCTGACTTGATGCAATACCAGTAGCTCAGCCACGTGGTAACGCTTCTTAATTGATTGACGGAGGCGATGCTGGCATCTTCGGTCAACTTGATCTCCTTTGAACGGCAGTATAATGAATACTTGTTTCTTTGGGACATCAGTTGGGGGTTTATCTCCGGATCGTATTTTGCGTGCCGAGTAATAAATCGCGCTGGATACCCATTCTCTTGTAGCGTCAAGGTGAATCGTTCTAGTTCATGTTCGATTGTGTCTAATGAGCAAATTTGGCGAGCTCTAGCAAAAGTAGTACATAGAGCTTTATAGTCTGGCAAGCTATTAAAGTCAAGTATTGCCCCGTCCATGTTGCTTTTCTGTACACAGATCGGACGAGTGTACCATCTGGCTTTCTCTGTAAGTTAACATGTAAGAAGTGGAAAGATCCGTCGGACTCGTTTTCCATTGTGAACTTGATGGCTGGATGGCACATATTCATCAGTTTCAATAAGTGCCCCGCCTGTTCAGGTGTGTCAACGACGATGAATGTGTCGTCTACATACCGGCAATAAAGGTGTACATTTTGTAGGTAAGAAGCAAACACAGTGTTTTCCAAGTGGCCGAGGAAGATAGCAGCCAAAACTGGGCCCAATGGGCTGCCCATGGCACGCGTCGATTTGTGATACAGGGTCCATTGAACAGAACGAATATCTTTGTACGTAGGCGCAGTAATGATTTGAGCTGGAGCGCTGGAACCAACTTTATCAGCGTGTCTGGCTATTATATCTAGTGTTTCTTCCAAAGGTACGTTGGTGAACAATGATGATACATCGGAAGCAACCATGTGTTTTCCCTTTACATTCAAATTACTTATCTTGTTGACAAACTCAAAAGCATCTGTTAGACTGTAGCTCGTCAGTTCCTTCCGAATGGGCTCAATAAGTTTCGCTAGCCATCGCGCTAATTTTTGGTATGGTGTATCCACCATTGAGACGCTTGGACGTATTGGGACACCTTCCTTATGAGTTTTCGGTGAGCCATACATGTGGGGAATTTTGCTGTTAACGTCGCACTGTTTTCCACTCATTGTATGTAAACAGCTGAGGAGAATACGCGAAATTACTGAATTCAGTAAATTCTGTTATAATATATGTGCTTATTGATCGAGTTCCGCTTTGAATACCAGGCCTCAATAAACTCACGTGCTTGTCTGGCAGCTAAACGTCTGCAAACTAATCGTTCAGCTTGGTGAGCATTGCAATACCCACATCCACATCCTGAGTTACGGACATTAACTATTTCAAATGTGCGGTACATTCAAACAAGTATCAAGTGGACCAAGATTACCCGGTTTTACGGTAGCCAACTCAACTAATTGGTTTGTTATGAATTGGTGCTACTCACTCTTCCCTATCCTGCACGCTACTGTCGCGGAGTGGAAATAATAGCATACCCCGGCAAAGTGGTGTGCCAAATATAAATAGCCAGATAATTTATCGCAGTAGAGGCAGTCCTGACAGACAGCTGTGCATAATGAAGTAAGGGGATTCAAACGCTTTCGATAAACTTACTTTAGCGCGGTTCAAATGCAAATGAAGTCCCCCCATCGGCTCACGAAATCATATCCTATCACTTGTACCCCAACATAGTCCAAGCTCATGTTGCCCATAGTGGTTGAGTGAATCAAAGCTGCTGAAACATATGGAACTTACTCTGCGTAGGGAGCATTCCGAGAAGATATTGTTCGAAAGGCAAATGTACAATCCTGTTCGAATCACATTGGAACCATCGGGGCGGGGCACGTCCTCGACGGGAACCAATAGGGTCACAGTATACGGTTCGCAGGATGGCTGATCCGCACGAAGATGAGCAGGGAATAGAGAAACTAATGAAGGACACACTGGCAGCTGATAGACTGACGAAGTTTCAACATCACTGCGTAAGATTATTGCTCATGGTTCTAAGTTAGAGTGCAGAACGTTGTTTGGTCATCATTCAACCACCGGTCTCTAGTTGGTCTGGTTTGTTGTAATTCTGGAGTGAGTAGCGTCATATATCATTAGTTTATAGTAATGCACTGTTTATTTGTAAACTAACGAAACTAACTGTTCCGAACTGATAAACTGTTCTACACAAAGGGGATCAACGTGTGCTGGATACTACTTTTACCTCAGATTACTGTGTTTGCAGCGTTTTATCTGTGTGAATTGTGCACCATTATTTGTCTTTTGGCGTATTTTCCGAGCGGTGCAAAGTTGGGAGCTATGCTTTGGCTAATTCCGGAGATCTCACTGATTTGCCATACTACCATCTCTGTCCGCCATCTTAGATTTGCTCTAGCTTGTGATGCCGTCTCAAGCTACTTGTGGTTCGTGTTCGAAAGTTGTGGGAAATAAGGCTCATGCACTTCGATGCTACAGCTGTGATGTTTTGTTCCATATTTCGTGCATTGGCTTATCCGTTGACGTGTTTCGAAAATCGCTCGACATCCGACATCGGTTTTTTCAAGTTATATGTGATAAATGTCGCGGTACAAGACATCAGAATACGCAGCGACCGCAAACAACTACGGCAAAATCTCTCTTTCAGAGAGGAACAAACCGTTCACCACGTGGGATCAAACGCCCTCGTGAAAGTACCTCTGTCACCTCGCCTTCTATTGTCACTCCGCGATCTGCACCATCACCAGCGTCTTCGACCCCGGCCGAACCCCAGGTTCAATGTTTCTCACCGATGGAAGACTCAGACTCAGAAGCTACGAAATGCCGCTTCACTGATCGGTCCGTGAATTTCTCAGAGCCTGTCTGTGAACTGCTGAACACCGAGGATCCATGGACCACTCAGAAGCGGAAGGGCAAACGTAATCGAGTTCAGACGTCACCTGCTGAAAAACAACTACCCAATCAGTTAAGCGCCTCTAGTTCTGCTCCCACAGGTTCATCACTGATTTCGCTGAGGCGTCATAATCTCATGGTCTTCCACGTACCGCAGTCAAAAGATGAAAACCCTCAGATCCGTTATGATCACGATGTTGAGTTCCTCCAGGGGGTCATCGATAGACTCTTGGATGTGGGCGAGGACAGTGTGACGATTAAACAAGTAATCCGACTTGGCCAGAAAACTAACCAGTCATGTCGACCTCTGAGGATCACCTTTGCAAATCCTAATATGCCGCAGCTCATACTGTCTCGTCTGTCAAGGCTGAAAGGCATAAAAGTTCACATCCGCCGAGATTTGGAACCCGAGGACAGGGATCGTTTGAAGACTGCGGTCATTGAGCTCAAACGCCGTACAGAGGAAGGTGAGACTGACTTACAAGTTGTAAATTTTCGGGTGATCAAGAAGGGTGTACGAACCCGTATCAATCGGTTGCTCAACCTCCAGGCACGTCCCGCAGTACCTCCCAGGACCTCCGTGTCGCATTCGCCAACGTGTGCAGCCTAATGAACAAACGTGACGAACTGTGCCGCTTCGCTGTCTTGGAGCGGCCGGACATTTTAGGACTTGCAGAGACATGGTTGAACTCCGACATCATACCCCAAGAAGTCGTGTTGTCAGGATACTCTTGTTTCCGATGTGACCGAAAATCAAAGGCTCACGGTGGTGTTCTGTTGTACATAAAATCGTCACTATCTGGCAAACGTATCAGTACCTATCGGAGCGAGGATAGTTTATGCGAGCAATTGTGGTGCACAATCCGTCTCAGGCGCGCAGAACTAATTGTGGGGTTATCTACCGGAGCCCATTAAACCGTTGCTGCGATTGGATACCACATGTACAGAAGCACATGAGCCGTCCTCAGTTCTTACTGATGGGGGATCTAAATTTACCTAAGATAATTTGGCCAGATGTTCGACTTCTTCCCGGTCATGGCAACGTTGAGGCTCAATTCGCTAAAATGACTATTGAAATTGGGGCAACGCAACATGTCATCCAACCGACGCGCGTAACTCCGGACTCGGCATCTTGTCTGGACCTAATGTTTACGAGCTGCGAGCAAAAGCTAAAAGAGATCAGAGTCATCGAACCTCTGGCGAACAGTGACCACTGCTCTATTGTAGCAAGCTTAGAACTGTCGTTACCATATTACAATCAACAGAAGCCGACATTCAACTATTGGAAGACGGACTTCAACGGACTTGTCCAAGCCGCAAGTCAGACTGATTGGACACTACCACATGATGCGTCACTTGAGGCGTAGTGGTCATAAATAAAGGGGAAGCTTAACTCGCTCTGTACTCGGTTCGTTCCCCTTAAGTATCCAAAAATCGGACCTGTCAAACCGCATTGGTTTGATAGGGATTACAGACAGTTAGCGCGACGACGTCGTAAACTTTGGGATAAATACATCAGCTCGGGTTGTGATGAAGATTACGCGGTGTACAAGAAACAGCGTAACTTACGTAACGCCGCAAAGATCAGGAAACGCCGGCAGTTCGAAGAGGAACTAGCATCCTCGGCCGCAACTGCACCCAAGCGAATATTTGCCTACTTGAAACGTCAACTGAAACCTGGAGACGACCTACCGGTCTTAGGAAGCTTAGACGGGAAGACACTCATTTCAAGCGCGGAGCGCGCGGACGCCCTGGATACACACTTCCTCACTGTATTTTCCAGTAAACCGGCGGCTGTTCCAGTACCAGCACAGGTTGCGCCAGTCTTGCTCGACAGCCTACAATGTGATGCAGTCGAAGTACATCAGCTACTCGTCAACCTCAATGGTGCAAAGCCCCCCGGGCCAGACGGACTTCACCCACTAATACTCAAGTCCCTATCGATTATCATCTCACCAGTTGTGACAAACCTTTTCAATAAATCGCTCTCTGAAGGATCTGTCCCCAACGACTGGAAATGCTCGATAGTTAAACCGCTTCCCAAGGGTGGTGATCAGAGTAAAACAGAGAACTATAGACCGATCTGTTTGACTTCGGTATTATCCAAAGTTCTCGAGAAGGTTGTGAAAAAATGTCTGCTGTCGTTCTTCGAATCGATGGACATATTGACGCCAGCGCAACACGGCTTTACGAAAGGGCGATCCTGCATCACCAACTTGATGTACGCAAACCACCAGTGGGTTCGAGCTCTCAATGAACAGAAGGATGTTGACGTGGTGTACATCGACTTTAGTAAGGCGTTTGATAGAGTGAACCACGAGGTACTCCTTCGTAAACTGAGGACATACGGAATCGGTGGCACGTTACTTCTGTGGATACAAGAGTTTATTGTGGGACGAAGGTTTAGAGTACAGGTCAATGACTATCTGACAGAATGGTTCCCATCGACCAGTGGCGTGCCTCAAGGAACTGTACTTGGGCCAGCATTATTTCTTATTCATATCAACGATCTTCCGCAGCAGCTCCAGTCACCATGTGTCCTGTTTGCAGATGATTTGAAAATCTGGAGGATCATTGAAAACCAGGACGACTGCGCCCGCCTCCAGCATGACTTAGAGCGACTGTCAACGTGGTCCACTGAAATGCAACTCCCTCTTAACGCAAGCAAGTCGGAGTTCATCAGTATCACCAGACGTCCAGCCACTCGATCATACACCTTGGACGGCCAGTTGCTCCATCCCAACACATCTGTCAGAGACTTAGGAGTTCTCTCACGACATGATTTAAGATCACTATAAAATACAGAGAAATTGTACCGTGCGGGACTTCGTCTGCTCTGGGCATTACGACGCAGTTTCTCCACATGGTCCGAAGAAACTGTCCCTCGTCTATTCACCTCGCTCATTAGACCAATCCTTGAATACGGTGCCCCAGCTTACCAACCGGTAACCCAGTGGGAAACTGAAAAATTGGAGAAAATACAGCATATCGCAACTAGAATGATACCAAGTCTACGAAAACTTCCATATGAAAAACGTTGTGAAAAGCTCGGACTCTACACACTATCCTATCGCCGAGTAAGAATTGATCTTATTATGACCCATCGAGTACTACACTTGAATCACTTCCCCATACTACGGCCAATATTTCACCTGCGAGAACCCTGTAACACCCGAGGACATCGTTACAAACTCAGGGTCCCCAGCATGAACAAAGTATCACATCAGCTTTGTATCGAACGAAGAATCGTAAACTTATGGAATACACTACCAGAAGGATTAATAGAGGCCGATTCTGTGAAGTGTTTTAAAACCAGTATCGACGATTATTTTGCAAACCTGTGCTTTTGTGAAACGATGCACATACAGTGCCAACAGAATACATTGTATGTCCGGAAATAATGACGCTAGTACAAATTTCTAACCGAACACGGATAAACGATTAACGGACCAGACACAACTGCTGATAATTCACAAGTAAATTTTGATTTTTCGTAATTCGATAGAGTTGTACAGAAACCTTTCTACTTTCTCTTAAATACAGTATCAGTATCAGTATCAGTATCTTACAATGGTAGACATGCCTCTCGTTCTGCCATTAGTGCGAAAGTATACTTTAGTACTGGAACCTATGTAGTGCCGTTATTTTTCCGAATGAACCTTGCGATTCATTTGTGTTTGGACAATATGAGGTCTTCCAAAACGGGCGCGAATGTTGTCACATGCAGGTTGGTCAAACCATGTTCAGTTAGAACAAAGTATGCTACAACTAATTTCTTCATTGCCATCATACACTTGATAAGCCCCGAACTGAACACCTTCGGTGCATCACTGGTGGTGATTGGCGAACCGAACATCTATAGCAGAGCAGATTTTCCTTTTGAACGGTTTCGTGGGATTCATGGTTGTATGCTTGTGTCAGTCAGCTTGAGCAGTGCCTGAGCTCGAATCGTTTGGTTCATGTAGAAACTGGCCAGTGAGAATGGCTTATGCTCAATAGTTTGGTCACAGTATAGTTGCATGCGTTCCTCGTGCCGTCGCTAAACAAAAGTGGATGTTGCTCGTTTTCGATCATATAAAAGATCACAGATGAACAGTAGACAAATGGCAGAGAACGGGTAAGGAGCTGATAAGGAGAAAAGAGTTCGCGCTTATCCAAGTTCGTTGGCACCGAGGTGCCCTAATACTCGATTTGTATAGCCCATCTGCTGACAACTGACTAAAACTGCTATTGCCTCAAGACTTAATTGAACTATGCTATTCGACGTGCCCAACACTTTCAAATGGGATCCAGTTGGCGTTTGTCATGTGCCCTGACTGTGTGAGACCCCATGTTGTGGATGGTGGCCAAGTGGCGAATGTTGCGACGAGCTAATAATAGTGCATTGAAAGCAATGAGTTCCTACGGGTTGATGGGCGAAAAGGTTACGTGTTCATTGATTGCGCCGATTGATTGTGACATCATGCCAGGTTAGTTATAAAAACGTCGGCCGGTGGCCGAGTGGTCTACGCGTTTGGTTTGCAACCATAAGGTCATCGGTTCGAATTCGCGTAGGGGTGGGCGTCCTCGCGGTATACTCAGCCGGCGCGCGACTGGTGGTTGTCGCGCGGCAGCGAAGCGCCGTTATGGCATACAGCTGACACACCATTATTTATTTTTATTAGTTGTAAAAACTGGATTTTAGCCAGATAACTTGATAACGGAGGCCTGTAAATCATCAGCTACAGGAGACCAGCAAATCACTAACTTCCCACCGTTGTTGTAGGAGATGTGTAGGGGTTAAGTTAGGTAGTCTGGTGGAGATCAAGCTATGGTGCGCTCCTTTGTATAATTGTTGCTCAATAACTGGAAAGTGGCTAATGATTCGAACAAAAAAGCGTTGCGATTAGTGACTTTTTCGAGCAAAAAATGCCTGAGTGTGTAAGGTAGCGCCGTTGGGAGCACAAGTCAGAGCTGATGAAGCTGTCCCTTGAGCGCAACGAAACACCGTACACAATCCCGGAGTCGTGTCCCATAGGCCCTACCACACGCAGGTATCAAACTTTGTACCGTCCCACAAATGTTTACTTGACTCACGAGTGTTCGAGAAGCTCAAGATAGCAGTAAGAGCAAACACAGCCATCAGCCAGTCACGTCAGCAGCTATGCTTGCGACCGATTGCCGCATATGATCAGTAACTGATGCGATGTTCAAAGCTCCACTTGAGGCAACCGCAGCACTGCACCAGAATCAAGCACTGTCGGCGTAGATCATTTTAAGTGTTGGTGTATCATAAATATGTACACACGCTATCTAGTTACCAAGTTTTTCGAAAAGCCAACAGGTCTACCTAGAAACCTGCGGCAACCCAGTTGTTGATGATCCAGTTGCAACTAACGCTATTGTGGATGCACGTTTTTTTTGTGCTTCAATTTAACCCAACACCAATTTGTTTGTGGATGATAAACTTGGTTACAGCGAACGAAGAGCGAATGGTTAGCCTGAGCTTCATCTTTAAAGTACATGATGTAGACCTCCTGTTGCCAGCTGCTTCGGTTTAGCTCAACTGTCTAGCGTTTCGAGCAAACTCCTTGGAGCCAGCTTCGCTCCAAGGGTATCGGCATGCAGAAAACACTAAACTGCGGGTTCGCCCTATCAAGCCCATCAACGGCGCTTAATCCACACGATATTGCAATGGTAAAAGATTACCGTTCAACAAGTATCGTAGGTTGGTCAAGAAGAAAATTGTCTTCAGATCGTGCATCACATTTTCCTCTTGAGTTTGCATGAAACATTCTGGTGTCACTAGATGGTAGTGAGTTTAAATTATTGACAGATGGTGGATGTACTGATGGCTTCGTGTTCCAAGCGTGACATCTCTAAGGCGCGATGTGCTTTGCTAGATGTAGTCAGGACCTTCAGTAAGTTAGCCCAATATCTTCACACTACTGCCAAACACTTATGCCACAACACATACACAATGAGGCGCATGCATTTTGTCTTGAATTTGAACGAAGGTCTGTTATTCTGACCATACTCGTTCTTTCGATTCTAAGGGTTCCCGCAATGGTCATCCGTTCACATAAAGCTGTTTTCGACAAACTTGTACGAACCTCGTTACGGAAGTTTAGACTTACCGATTTCACACCGAATCCAGTGCACTCCGCGGAATGCTCTTCTGGTGAAGCCCAAGTCACTTCATTTAGTGTCTTTAATGCGTCAAGCGACAGACGCAACACGGAGTTGCTGGAAGAAAGCGGATTTAAAGGTGCATTGATGATTTCGCCAAACACTATATACCGTATACCTGTTAATCAAATCACTTTCATCGGTAGATGGATGATCTAACGAACTTTCTACTACAGTCCAGCCTTCCGGGCATGAATTATACAGTGAATAAAAGGAGCTTGTGCTTCTTTTTAAATTCAAATGTGCGTGAAAAAACACTGATACCTTGATGTGCAGTTTTTTGGCATGGGCTATGAGACCAGTCTTGGGTTTCGACTAGCATTGGACTCGAAAGACAAATGGTAAAAATCACGCGCTGTCCCCATTAAGGGGAATTTTACAAGGAAAGATCATTGTTACCAGGGTTTGTACCAGTAAAATTGATCCGTTCCTTAAGTGCATTGGTCAATTAACGTGGATACTTAAGCCGTCTAGGTCGAACATAAGGAAGGAAAACAGCAGCAGCGAGATGAAAAGTGATTTCACAAGCCCACAAGCGAAATGCAAGCATTTACTGCTAAGCAACAAAATGAAGTACAATTCCCATTGTAAGTGCTTTGTTAACGTATTTGTAGGGGCAGCATCCTTGTCTATAGTTATAAGTAACTTACTGGATTTTCTGAATAGCAAATGGGTCTGGTCTCCTTCCTCTACTTATGTCTATAGCCGCTAGTATTTGTAGGCACTACTCTATAGTATAGCATCGCTTCGCACCGAGACGGGTTTCAGCAGTAGTTCGTTCTTAAGAAGCGCCTTTTTCCTCCAAATTGTCAACCGATCATATGTATCAGCTCACTTCTTCTTGTCAGCGCTTTTAATAAATAAAAACCGTGGTTTTACCAAATGGTGACAAGCTGACCGGAACTATTCACTCTTCTTGATTGTCAGCATGCAATTCTGCTACGCTAATTTGGCCCCTTACCACCGTAAGAGAAATCTGCCACATTCACTTGGAACATCTTCAGTTATCTCAGGCTATTATATCTTTTCTGAGCGCACAACACTCTGGTAACACAATTATAAATGTAGTGGTAACAAGGTGCAAAAGTACTGTTTTGAGGCATTTGCTTTAAATACGGCAGGTAAAATATATATGCAAGAATCTTGTCAAAATTAGGTCTATCTTTACCTATTCTGCTTATCATTTTTGGTAACTGCTTTGTGACCTTTTATTCCTCCGACAAAATATTTTCGCTAGGCTGTTATTGAATTTTGCTTTTGGGCTATCTCGTTGGCTTCCCACTTTTTCGACTCGTACTTGGTGCCTGCCAGAAGATCATTAAGTTGGCATCCATTGCAATCGTTTTCCTTCGTACACCTTAATAGTGGAAATATATCATGTTTTTAAACCTGCTTCATTCTCTACCCATATGTCACTTGTGCAGCAGTCGGAGATGCCCCCGGTTTGCGTGAGTCCGTTGTGCAAAATAAGTCACTACACAATTAAATGATCAGTGCAGAACGTTGAACTGCATCTTGAGTTCGACGGTTTGGTTCGAGCAACGCCATTTTGCTTGGGACCTCGGCCGGTCTGCAACGCGCAACCGCAACGTTTACTGCATCTCACATTTTTACTAGTTAGCAAATCTATCGATGCCTTTTCATAGTCAAGACAACGGAAAACCAGTTGATGTACAAAATGACAGCTTCGCTGTACTCATTTACCTTGTGAAACCGCCGAATGTCTAGATCGCTATCTGAAAATCAAATGAATACTGGGTAGCGATTCAAATCCGTTATTAAAGAACACAGTGCACACACAGTGTACACCATTATTCACTGAAATGCAATTTACTTGGTTGCTTCATTCCGGCAACTAGCCTGAGTTCATTGTCTGGCGCTCATCGCTCGCTCGTAGCAGTTTGTACCACTCCTATCTTGGCTGAAACAAATTTGCGTCTCAGGCTCATTTCGGTCCGTTCATCCAGTTCTTGCAAATTTGAGCAGCTAGTTGTGTCCGCGGTGCTGACTGGCTTCCCATCTGCTGGATCTATCTGGTTTGCTCGCTCGGCCTATAATTTATCGTCGCGCAATGCGCAAACAACTCTCTGACCGTCACCAAGAGCCTGTCGGACACAAAGCGCTGCGACCTATTTCCCCCTTGTTCGTTCGGCCGTGTAAAGGTGATCACTTTGTGTCCGTGGTACGGATTGGCTTTCCCGTCCACTCGCTGCGCGTCGGTTTCGTTCGCCTGACTTGCCATTTACTATCAGAGTACCATTGGACACAGGAGAGCCTATGATGTGCTGAGATTGGTGGTGGCTAGATCCTGACAGATGGTCTACCCATTGCTGCTACTCTCGTGTCCTGGGCACATGTCCTGGACGCCTTCTCGTGGCGACCGTTGGGTGGGAGTTGGGTGACGTCCTTCCCCCTGTTAAGATCCAAGACAACAATCCGCATGAGTCAGTGAACTGACCATGTTCTTGACCCGCTGCCTTTCGGAGTTACATTTGATCGACGGCTTTGGCTGAGTACCCGAGTCGTTCTCCTTTCAAATGTGGGCGCTCTGCCATTATCCTAGTCCATCCTCTTCGGATGTTAGGAAGTGATCAATGGCTTTCTTCCCGTAAAACCTAACCATGGGAGAATACAGGTCTACAGCTTATAAGCTCACCGCTCGAGTGGCGTAGAGCACGAGCGCCACTCATTGTCTCTGACGGTGGGAGGTCACCTCCGGGTGCTCAATGGTGTGCTACTGCTCGCCTCAATCCAGGCATCCCCTGGTCAAATTGGTGCAAACCCGCCAAAACCCAATGTTTCTGGCCGTGGTCGCAGGTGTATCCTAGTACGGTCGCAAAACATATATGAATCGTTCCAGTACTTCAAAGCCTGCTTGTGACGGAGCTCAAGCAGATCTCAATCTTTCTCTACAATCACATTCTCGAGCTGGATCTGCTGTCCACTGCATTGTGGGTCAGGCTGTTGAGCCAAAGGCTCTGAGCGGAGTCTCTCAAGCAGACCTCAGAAGTACAACCGCCACCTCGCGTGCGATTGCTCACCAATGCAATCTTATGCCTGCGCGCAAAGCACTCAGCATCGGGTACTGGAACGTACGCACACCACTAGACCGGAACTCGAGTGAGCACTTCGATGGATGCACTGTACGGGTCAGGATGGAACTGGCGCGGTACAACATCGATATTGAGGCACTCAGTGAGATCCGGCTCACTGAGCAAGGTAAGTTAAACGAAGCTGGTGCTGGCTACACATTCTACTGGGTGGGCAACGCCACCTCAGCAACACATGAACATGTGGTCGGATTAGCACTCTCCGATCGCTTAAATGGCCAGCTGGTGGGTGAACCAACAGGCATCAGTGCGCGACTGACGACTGCTCGCCTACCACTCGGAAGAGGTAAGTTTGCCACTTTTATAAGCACCTACCGTCCGACTATGTGTTATCCTGATGACACGCGTGCTCAATTCTACACTCAGCTATCCTCCGTGATACGGTGTGTGTCGAGGAGCAACCAATTATTTCTGCTGGGTGATTTCAACGCGCATGTTGGGCGTGATACATCGATGTGGACAGATGTCATCTGTCCGCATGGCATTGGTTCAGTTAATACGAACGCTGACAGGCTGCTTTCACTGGGTGCCACTCACGACCTGACGATCACGAACACACGGTTTACACTGAGTGCGAGTGATATAGCAATTTGAACAAACGCACGGAGTGGTCACGATCACCTGCTCGACTATGTCATCGTACGTCAGCGTGATATGCGTAAAGTGCGAATGGCACGTGTTCTGCGTGGAGCTGAGTGTGGCACTGATCACAAATTGGTGCAGAGCAAACTATAAACATATAGTTTCGTAAATCTATGTATGTACTCGCGCCGTGAATTGGTGTAAATTCAACATTTCCTCGGTACTGTGGCGAAATATATTGAGCTGGAGAAGGCGATGGTTGCACGCCTGTGTGATGTGAAGCGCATAGCCACAGGGGGCGACCTGTGGCACCACATTTGCGACCAGGTGACAACCGCTGCCGAGGAGACCATAGGGCGCGCAAACTGTAATAGGCCTGATTGGTTTGATGGGAACAACGCTACGATTGGCGCATTAGTGTAGGAAAATAATGCAGCATTTGCTGCAAATGTGGCCGACGCCAGTTACTTGGGGAAGAAGAGTCAGTTTCGCAAACTTCAACGGCGACTGACTCGAGAGCTCCATCGCATAAAAATGAATAGAGGACGGAGAAGGTAAAAAAGATGAAATGCTACGCCGAAGGTCGCCAACACAAGGAATTTGTTGACTCTTTGAAGTTGGTGTATGGACCGAGATTGGAGCAGCTGAGGACGCTGATCAATGGTAGTTTGGGCCCTGCCAGCACACAGACTGCAGATATACTGCATAGCTGGCAAGAATATTTTGACTGTTTCTTAAGAGATCGGTTGGCCTACTTTGCACGATCTGAAGCAGAACGATGTGAAGGAGAGTGTAGCGGACACGCATGCACTAAATCAGACGCAAAGAGCACTTGCTTAGCTGCGAAACGGCAAGTGTGCCGGTGCCAACGGGATCCCGCCTGAAGTATTGAAACACGGCGGACCTGCGTTAGTGACTGCGCTGCACCACTTGGTGCAACGCTTGTGGACTGAAAAGATGCTTCCGGAGCTGCTCTTGTGCTACCACTGTACAAGGTCAAAGGTAGCAAGCAATGTTGCACGAATTATCGTGGCATCAAATTGCTGAGTTGTGTGGGCAAGGTGATTGCCCGAATCCTGCTCAATCGCCTCGTCAGTCAGGTTGTGGAACCTAACGTGACTGAAGAGCAATGTGGATTCCGTTCGTGCCACAGCACTATAGATATGGTGTTTGCGGCTCGTCAGTTGCAAGAGAAGTGCAGAGAACGACACCAGCCGATGTACACGCTTTTTGTTGATTTCACAAAGGCATTGGAATGATGAATCGCGAGGCATTGTGGCTGATGTTGGGTAAGTTTGGTCGTCCGAGTAAGTTTGTCAGTTTAATTGAATGTCTGCACAGTGGTATGCGGGCGAGGGTGCAGCT